GGTGCATTTAAAATGACTGTGTTTACATCATTGTTAGCGGCTGTACCTATGTATAGTGATTCATGGTACATTTAAAATGACTGTGTTTACATCATTGTTAGAGGCTGTACGTATGTATAGTGATTCACGGTACATTTAAAATGACTGTGTTTACATCATTGTTAGAGGCTGTACGTATGTATAGTGATTCATGGTGCATTTAAAATGAACGTGTTTACACATCATTAGAGGCTGTACGTATGTATAGTGATTCGTGGTACACTTAACATGACTGTTTACACATCATTAGAGGCTTTACGTATGTATAGTGATTCATGGTACATTTAAAATGACTGTGTTTACATCATTGTTAGAGGCTGTACGTATGCATAGTGGTTCATGGTACACTTAATATGACTGTGTTTACGTATTAGGATATTTATGTGTAGAAAATGATCTCTTTTTCAGGAACTATTTGGAAACTCAAGTTTACGGATTACATTTATTTTAGTGAAAGGAGAAATCCTTGTCTTGATATTTAGAATAATTGCACGTTTTAAGTGTTATGGCTGTTGGAACGGCTTTGGAGTGAAATGTTTATGTTAAAAAGTATTTTGTATCATTAGTTTGAATCACTTGAAATGCCCAACTTTTGGCTATATAATAACCACAATATAATCAATAAATATATATTCTATTTTAGGTGAACCGTTTTAATTTTCCTTTTTTTCCTCTCTATATTTTAAAAAAATCTGTCGGATATAAATCAATCATGCTCGACACGGAAACAGCGAAACTGAATAAAGTACATGATTACTGCTCGTACAAGAATTGTTCTAGGTCGAGTGCTCATGCACAAAATATGATGTCACTCATGTGAAAATGTGCAGACTCAAATTCAGTTTGATCAAATAGTATACACACAGACTGTTAGTTTAATCAAGAATAATACGGACACAGTCTGTTCGGCAAATTAGGACAAAAACGATCAGGTCTGTTAGGCAAATACAGTCCCAGGCTGTCAAGTGTTTCAAGTAATTATGAAATATTCAAGCTGGTAAATCTATCATATAAAGAAGGTTATAGACTGTCAAGTCAGATTAACTAAGTACCAAACAAATTGTTAAGTCAATCGTGTAAATGTGAGCACAGGTTTTCGGTTGATCGTGCGGTTTGGCTGGTTATGAGAAAAATACACACCAACTAGTTGGCGATCATGTGAATATACACACACACTAAACTTTGTGTGTGTGTGTTTGTGTATCCACATGATCGCCCATGATCAACCAATCTTGTGTACTTACATGACCAACCAAACAACTAAACTTTGTGTGTGTGTGTTGTTCATATGAATACACACGAAATGTTTAGTCGATCATGTAGATATACACATTTGGTTGATCATGTGAGCACTCACACAAAGTTTAGTTGGTCTTGTGATTACACACATTTGGTTGGTCATGTGGAAACAGATGTTTGGTTGCTCATGTAAATACAAATTTGGTAGATCATGTGAATACAAGATTGACTGATCATGTGATAAAGGCACAAACTGTTTGATTGATCATGTGAAATGTCTTATGTATATGCTTGGCTAATAATATAATTACACCCACTATTTACCGTAGCTTAACAAAAATGTGCACATTGTATAAAATAATATCAAAACAATGTTTTGAAATGTATATGTGTATAAAAACAAAATATTTCCATTGACAATAAAATAAAATGAGTTTAAGTCTGTGATTTTTTTTCTAGATCTTCCAGAGCTCCGTAGCTTTTGAATTTGTTCACATATATACTTGTTTTAGAACTTGGGGAGCGTCACTTTGTTATCATTAGAAACAAAGTTAGTTGCCATGGAAACAGTTCGTTGCCTGGCAGCACTACTAAGTTAAATTATATGTATCGACTTTTGCAGCTATTGTGATTTCGCATCCGAAATATACGTTCTGCACGTATATGTTACATGTTCTCTGTCTATCTACAGTAATGCTTTTTATAATTCGAATAACATGTATGACTTTCATCTGTAATTCCTAACATTATTATTCGAATTGGATAAAATCATTATTAAATGAAATCAAACTTGAGACGTATGAAAAAACGTACGATAACTTAAAATAAACCGAGTACAGTAGCATACATTTCATGGGAAAAAATATAAGTTATTTTCTGATGTTCGCTAAGAATGTTAGTTTACTAAAGAACACGAAGACGTGGTTTCTATATTATAAAAAAAGCCAGGTCATTGGGTTTATAAACAAAGCGTTGCAATAACAATATCAGCAGAAAGAAATCCTGTTTATTTTCTTGAATATAAAATTTATTAGGGTTAGGAATTATAATAACATAAATATATATAAATATAAATATATACACTAATAACTGTATTGAACCTAAATAGTTTTGACCATAAATAGTTCGTTAATTTGTTTTAAAGTATAGGCAAAAAATACAAATATGGCTTCAAATAAATCCATATCATTACTTGTCTAATCCTGCACACTTTACAGTAAAATCGCTCTTTTCTATAACGTATAGATAGCACCTTCGATTTAACAGCAAGTTCAGTTATTCCATCATCTAAAACTTATCAAAATTAAATGTACTATGTCTTACTTTTCCACCAGTTCTAGCACGGATAACACAGATTGATTTACTAGAAGCTGTTGCATTTCTTAAGTTTCAGAATTTTAAATGGTCTGAAATTGAGTTTGTTTTGAATTTCGCGCAAAGCTACATGAGGGCTATTTGCAGTGTAAGACTAGAGGGAAGGCAGCTAGTCATCACCACCCACCGCCAACTCTGGGGCTACTCTTTTACAAACGAATAATGGGATTGACCGTCACGTTATAACGCCCCCACGAATGAAAGGGCGAGAATGTTTGGTGTAAAGGGGATTCGAATCCGCGACCCACAGATTGCGAGTCGAGCGCCCTAGCCTCCTGGCCATGCTGAGCCTCGAAATTGAGTTAACTGATAATTTAAATTTAGTAGTTAAATCGTACTTTGGATTTAGTATTTAAATATATGCCGATATATAGCCAGTTTGTGATATTTGCCAACAAAATTGATACACAGTTTTCTTTTTTAACACAGATACGTTTCAATATACACACAACAGTACAATTTACAATAACAATTATTACAAATAGTTATTACAAACAATGATTTATAAACAAAAGTTTCACAAACTTACAAACAATATAAATTTTTTTCTCGTCAGGAACTTCCTTGATATCTTGATGAGCGAGTTAATTACGAGTCGATGTAGATACGATTCGCTGGGAAGCTAGCTAGCTTAATCCTTTGCCACACACTCTGAACTCGCCACGATGAATTTATATGTTTTCGTAAAAATACTAACGTCCGATGAGAATCCACTGAAGTTAAACGATTTGTAACGTTCGAAATTTATAGATATTCCTGGTCAAATATCTTAAGTTTTCCAATTGATAAGCGTTTTAAAAATAACAGTTATAGCATTCGAAGTTTATAGCACACTCATTATACTGAACTACTAATAGACACACTTCGGCGCGTCGCGTTGGTTATATTTATAGCCGTGGGAAGGTTTTCTAGAAAATTCAGTCTTACGTAACAATACTGATCAAAGCCTTTACGTACACACATATATTGTTGATTCTTACTCTCGAGAATCTTCTACAACTTTGGAGAATAGGCGGGGGCTT